GAAACCTGACTGGATCTAACCCATCGTCTCCATCCCTTTTACGGAAGTGGAAACAAAAGTACTCTCTCTCCACTTTCTGCACACCAAGCATAGTTTTATAAACCTATATCATCCCACCCACCCCAGTTGTCTTTTTTTCCAAATTAGAAAAACCCTTTAAAAAAATTGTTCCTGACAGGGTCAGCTCCAGTACTTGGATGAGTGAACCCCAAGGAAGACCAGAGCTGCTACACAGAGGCAGGCAACAGCAAACCACCTCTGAATGTCTCTTGCTCTGAAAACCCCAGGAGGTCACCATAAACCGACTATGACTAGATGGCACTTTCCGCTGCAAAACAATTTAGCCTCTTATCTTCGGGAAGGTGCTCCAATCCTTTGCTGCTGCTGCTGCTGCTGCTGCTGCTGCTGCTTCTTCTTCTTCTTCTTCTTCTTCTTCTTCTTCTTCTTCTTCTTCTTCTTCTTCTTCTTCCTCCTCTTCCTCTTCACTGCACAGTTACTAAAGGCTGACATTGTTGCACAGTCACTTAGGAAGAGGTTGTAAAAACTACCAAAAATAACAGAGACCCACGGTCTATCCCACTCAGCACCTAGTTTTCCACAGCAGCCACTCACATGCCCCAGAAGACCACATAAGCCAAAGCCTCCCCCTTCCGTTAGTAACTGATATTCAACGATACATTGCCTCTGCACATGGAAGGTGCATATTCAATCATGAATGATATTTATTGATGAACCCCTACTGCATTCATTTGTCTTTTTAAAAAACTTCTAAACCAGCAGCGATCACCGTCTGCATCCTGAAGCCGTGAGTCTCATAAATCAAATACATGTTGTAGGAATCTACTGCTCTGGATCTATGCCCCATCAATGGCACTGGGTCTCGTGACTGTGAGTGTTACCAGAGAAGGCAGAGAAAAGTTCACCCCGCTTTCTTTGCACCATGCATGATTTTATAAACCTCTATGCAGTCTCTTATTCACCAAAAAACTCAAGGTGGATACACAGGGTTACATCCAATCAGTTTTTCCATTGCTGAAAGAGTAAAGACGGGGTCCCCTTTGACCACCAAAGAGGGGATCATGGGATCCAACGACAGGGCATAGAAGCCAAGGCCATACCCAGAGGCTGGCCACAGACTCAACAAGGTTTGGGGCCCATGTCCCAGTCCATGGAGTTCCACAGTCTTATTTAACCAAAGCTTGCTCAGCACTGGGCAGAATCAACCTTGCTCATAACACACCTGCATGGGACCTGCATGGAGAAAAGCCACATGAGATGGGGCCTGCACCAAGGAAAAGAATCAGGGTGAGAGTGAGCAAAATAGTTGGCTGGATCCAACCTGACAATCTGTCTCCACCTTTTGTTAGTCCTCTGGGGACCATGCTTCAACTCAAGTTGCTCCTCCTGGTGGACACACGAAGGACCCAAAGAGATGGCACTGGACAGTGAGACAGCCTTGGGAGAAGGCTCGCACTCTTACCTTGACCGTAACGCCATCTGAGACAACTGCCAATGCACACAAGCAGAGAGATACCGTCAGGAACACATTCATGATGATCCAAGACTCTGGGTCTTCCTTGGAGCTGAGCTTAGATGATGGAGATGTTCAGCTATAGAGAGGCAGCAACGATGCTGGATTTTTAAAGGACACCTTCTAGTTACTGAGTAACGAAAGATGTCGTGGTACCGCCTGGGACGGCGTTAGCCTCCTTGGCAGATTGCATCGTGATGACACAGTCTGCAAAGTGACATCCCAAAGAAAACAACAGCACCCACGGAGATTAACATCCTTATAATTTTATGACACTTCTTCACAAGTTTATGAGTGGCACATGCTATATTACAGCTGGGATGGGTGGCAGGTGTTTTATGAGCAGGGTTGTTTCTGCCCAGTGCTGAGCAAGCTCTGGTTAAATAAGATTGTGGGACTCCATGGACTGGAACATGGGTCTTAAACCTTGTTGAATCTGTGGGCAGCCTCTGTGTATGGCCTTGGATTGGCCTCTATGCCCTGTTGCTGGAATAGTAACTGGCTGGCTGCTGTGTGAGACAGGATGCTGGACTAGATGGACCACTCAGAAAGACCTCGGCCTCTTTGCCCTGTTGTTGGCCATCCAGAGGAGCTGGTTGACCACTGCGTGAGAGAACGTCCTGGAGTAGATGAACAGTTTAAGCCTTCCCATCGGCCAGTCAGTCATTTGGACATCACAAGACGTTCTCTGCTAAGTGAAAAACAACCTTTTCAATATCTATAGCTAAAAATCAGAGGTTCAATATTTTTATGCTTACAATCATGTACTATGTTTGTTGTTGTTCAGTCGCACAGTCGAGTCTGACTCTTCGCGACCCCATGGACCAGATCATGTCAGGCCTTCCGGTCTTCCACCATCCTCTGAAGTTTGCTCAACTTCATGTTCGTTGCATCTATGACACTGTCTAACCATGTAACTAAACTGTACTATGTTTAAAGTCCTCCTAATATTATCCGACATACTCCTAGAGGGGATAAAACCAGATTGATCATAAGAAAAATAGTTTGAAATAATTTCATTTAGACTCAACATTAGGATAGACATAAAAAAAATTGCATCATTATCCAATAAAGATATGGGGTGGTAAGAATCGGGCCTGCTTGAATCCTTGCCTGGTTTTAATATCACCATAATCCTAGTATCTTCCCAAGATGGTGGGAGATTGTCTGTTTGGAGAATAAGGCTGCACACCTCCGTTAAAGGACCCACAAAATATGTTAGAAATTTCTTGTAAAATTCTGTGGGCAGAACATCCCTGCCTGGGGGTTCCCTTTTCTTGAACATATGGAAAGACGTACAAAGCTTAAAAAGGCATTTCCTGATAATTT